TGAGAGAAGACTTCAGTTTGGATAAAGATGAGACTCTTAGAGAGTTTATCCTAATCCTACTGGGAGTCCAAAATTAACAGTAATCCTGAGTCCAATAGAGCTAGGCTTCTATTGGGACTAGGATTAAGTTTGCTATACAAGAAAGGCACCCCCATGATTTGTAGCAATTTACAAGTCGAAGATAGGCCGAGGTTATTGCTTAAGCCCTCATAGCAATATGTGGGTTGTTTAAACCCCAATGAAAATGCTTAACACTTGTTAAAATTTGTAGCAATTTACAAGTTTATGTTAAGCCGACATATGATCACCCGCAGAGGTATACAGAAAGACACAGGTTAAAATAAAGGCTAAGTATATTGTTCATTACTTGTTGAAATTTGTAACAATTTACAAGTAGATTACCATTTGGTACTTGTTAAGAATTAAGAAGAAGCTTGCAAAGTTTACATTCCGAAATATATGTTCTATACTTGTTGAAATTTATGGGAAGTTTGCAGGTTAGTATCCTGCCGAAGTAAAAGTTTCGTGGTTGTACCCGAGGTATGAAACCCCGAGAAGATTGCACCAAGGAAGCAACATGAAGAAGCATACAAAACAATTTTCTATGTACAAGACTGTGCAAAAGCAGTCAACAGAATATCACATCCAGAGGAAGAACTGTTGCAATTACACATTGAAGAAACCATGTCGGCCAAAAGAAAGAATTTTTACATTATCCAGAAAGTAAGAAAGTACAAAGCGCAAAAAACAGTAGAAAGAAGGAAAAAAGTACAAAAGACAATTTTTTCAAGATTCTTCAGTGTTAGCCACTACAGAGACTGGGACCTCGGACGACTCCGGTGGTACCTCGTCGGCTACTTTTTCCGCCTGTATCTCGGCGTCAATCTCCGCGATTGTATTCTCCACACTTCTTTCTGCCAATAGAAGATCAGACGATAGCTGCCCAGCGGCAATTTCCTGGATTACCCCCTCAACCTCATCACCCTCCTCATCCAAGGTTAAATCCATAACTTGCCCAGCAGGAGGAGGGGACCTGACCTCGGCACCATTCTTGGGTTTCCTCACTAAGGCTTCCTCATCATTTTTCTCTTCGTCCTCACCCTCAGCCTCTACCTCGGTCTCTGATTCGTCTTCAGTCTGACTTGGAGGAGGAAATGGTAAAGGAATAGCGTCGGCCTGGCGCAATGGCGAGTCAACAGGAAGATCAAGCTTCTTTACCAGGGACATCCAACCAAGGGAAAATCCCCTGTTGCATGCCTGCCCGACTTGAAGCTTGTAGTCTTCTGCGACGTCGGCCATGCCTTGAGCATAGGCCTTTTCATCGACCTCTTTGACTTCGGCCTCCTTGGTGGCCAGAGCTTGTTGAAGTTCTTTTTGCGCTTGGACCTTCTGAGCCTCGGCCTCCCTTTTCTCGGCTTCAGCTACTTTTTTAACGGCTTCAGCAGCCTCGGCCTTTTCTAGAGCTAAGGTTTGGTTCTTCGTTGCAGCCTCGGCCTGATCCTCCAGTTTTTTCATCCTCGGCCTCCCTTTTCTCGGCTTCAGCTACTTTTTTAACGGCTTCAGCAGCTTCGGCCTTTTCAAGAGCTAAGGTTTGGTTCTTCGTTGCAGCCTCGGCTTGATCCTCTAGTTTTTTCATTTTTACTTCAAGGGCCCTTAATTCTCTCTTCATTGAAGTTGCTTCCCTCTTCATATCAACCAATCTTTGACGATTTTCAAAGGATTGCATTGAAAATGAATGGGCATGTTGGATAGCCTGAATGAAAACAGAAGTATCAGAAAATTTTCTCAGAAAGAAAAAGAAGGAAGAAACATAAATACAAACAGAAATACTTACTTGAGCGGAGTGTTGGAGCATAAGAGCATAATTTTCATACTCACTAAAACTGGCATTTCGCTCCAAGTCATTCGGTAGGAGGAGAGCAGTGCTAAGAGCGACAGCAACATTAATGTCGTCAGCACTCTCGCTAGCCATAATGGGCCTGTCCTCCAGAGATAGATCAGGGGCCCATGGGACGTCGGGCTTCTTTGAAGCCGAGGTCGTCGCAGACGATGACCTTGGCCGCTTTGTTTGTGTAGACCCTGAGGGTTGACCCTCAGCTGACCTCTTGGTGGAGACAGAGGCTGATTTCCTGCTTTCTGCCAGCTTTGAAATAGGCACAGTATCCTCAGCTTCGGCATCTGTAGCCTTGGCCTTAGGCTGAACCTTTTTTACTCTCTTTGGTTTGGGTGGAAGCATTGATTGCGTTGGTACAGCTTCGGCATCAGTTGGAAGGTCGGCGAGAAGGTCTTGGACGACAGGCCTTGGGCGAACCATTTCGGCAGTCTTTACAAGCCTTCGTCGGCGTTTACGTTCAGGAATTGGTATTAAGTAGGGGGCCGAAGTTGATGGAAGATCGGCTGGGTTAGATGTGGAGTGGACTCTTGATCTGTTCGGGATGTAGAAGCAGTTAAGGTTGTGGCTGTGGGTGGAGAAAGACTCTTCTTCCTTTTTCTAGGGACGTCGGGTAAGGTGGATTTGTATGTAGGGATGAAGTTTAGTAATACTGGGGCTTTTCGTTTAAGGATTGGAAGACCAAGAAGTGTTTTCAGATCTGTTCCTGGGAAGAAGGATTGACGAAAGTTTTTCGGTGGCTGATGGAGATTTGCAAAGAAACAAACGTCAGAAACAAAAAATATTAAAATCCTAAATAAAAACAACTAAGTGTTGACTCAGGGCTCTTACTCTTGCCCTCTGTAATTGTTCGAGGAAGAGGGTAGAGGTGGACATCTTCATCTGGGCCAAATTCCCAATTTCCAGAAGCAATGAGAAAATCATCTCCAGCCCCCTTGTTGGAGTCTGGGAGGTCGGCTATAATTTTGTACTGAGTGGATCTCGGCTTAAGGTAATAGACAAAACCCCTATCCTTCAGATCAAGAGGGCACATGGTATAACAATATTGAAGGTCGGCTAGGGTGATTCTAAGGTTTTCTTGCCTAGCTAAGGCTATAATACCGTTAATTACCCTATAAGAATTGATAGTAAGTTGCATGGGGTTTAGCTTATAGAAGTGGAGAACTTGACGAAAAAGGGGATCGAGTGGAAGCCGAAGTCCACATTCGGTAAAAGCAACTATTGGGAAAGGCATTGTATGATCTGTGGGCATGATGGTATCATTATCCCCAGCCAGCTTAAGTTGAACGTCGGCTGGGATAGAGAATTCTTCCCTAAAATGTTCAAGTTTTGTTGGAGTATTGACCCTATGCCTCCACATACCCATTATGTCGGCCTAGACTAAGAGGAATATGTTTCAAAAGATGAGTTAACCAAAGATTATGAAGTCTACCACTTGTTGAAATTTGTAGCAATTTACAAGTTTGGTATAGCCGAGATAACACTGAAAGACGTTTCCGAGATATGATCATCTGAGATGACCAACTAGCTTGTTAAGAGCTGAGAAGGTTGGCAAGTATAAAAATGAAGACCTTAAAGAACTAGGGACTGAAAGCAATAACGCCGGACTGATCTGCTTCGACGGACGACGATGGTTCAGCCTCGGCAGTCAGTTGGAGGAGCTTCTCTATCGTTACCTCGGCATCAATTTCAAGAAAGAAGCAAACTACTCGGCATCAGCGGCAGGTTGTGTCTCACCCCCAGAAGACAGTTGGAAAGAACTTCTCAGCAGCCTTCTCAGCCACGAAGTTCAGCATCAATCTCCTGAAGAGTTTGATCAAGGCTCTTCTCGGCGATTGGCACCTCGGAGTTTAAAGGCAAAGATTGAAAGCAAGAATCTGGAAAAAGACACAGAAAATAGAAACAAGAATGTAATTTGTAATCAAGAATGGTGATGAAGCTATCAAGAAATCAAGACAAAAAGATTGCACAAGTGTGTCAAGCCAAGAACAGTGGTAGAAATCAACAGATATGTGAACAATGTATATTTAAGAAGATAATTTGGAAACAACGGGTAAAACAACAATGGTGGTTAACAATGAAGCAGAGCTTCTTGGAAAGCAACAAGAAATAAAACCAGGAGGAACAGTGGCTTACCAAGAAAAAGGGAAGCTGGAATGAGAATTGCCGAAGTCTGACAACAATAACAGAATGGCGTAAGCTTCACCGGAGGAGAGGAACGAAGACAGTTACAGAAGCTTGAAAGCTTGGAACAATGACAGATTTAAGCAAAAGAGCTAGAAAGAGAAGAAGCCAGAGGATTAAATAAAAGACGAGAAAAATAGTCAAGAAGACGACAAAGAATAAAGCCAAGTGCACAGCCACTAAGTAAGTATACCAGACATGATGCTAGCAACAGAAAACGGATATGACAAGAACAGTACCAGGCATTCAAACAATTCAAAACTTGAAGAGAGACGAAAATAGAAGGCAACAGAGGGCAAGTAAACGGATTCAGAAGAGTTATGAAAGATTGAGCTTAATAAAAGAGTTTTGAACGCCGATATGGAGATCGCCGGAGTAAAATAGATAACTGGAAATCGGGAACCCACCGAAGAATGTGAGTGGAGCAGTTGCAAGGCTCTTGGAGTTTACGAATTAATGGAACGAGAACCTCGGCTAGGAGGTGTGATCTCGAGCAGCTTGGAAAGCATGGAGCTTGATACTTGACAAAAATGAACAGTAAAGTCCAGGGAACTTTGAGGTCGGCGAGTTTGATCTCGGACAGAGGGGCACAAATGAACGAACAGTGTAGGTTCCATCACCTCAGAATGCCAAGGTAATAGAACCTAGGAGGCAGTTGTGGGGATATATTTTCTGAGTACCAACACGTGGCAAGGTGAAGCCCAGTAGAAACAATCTCACACAATATATGAATCTTAATAAATGTATAAGCATGAAGTGTACGTCAAATGCCCATTATAGAATCAATTATATCTTACAAGGTCATAATATACCAAATTCTTTAATTTCAATTCGTCTATCTCAATTCCATTCATGTCAATTCATTTCACTTCAATTTACGAGTTATGTTCATTATTATCTAGACAACCCAGCTGAGACTACAACTTAGTGGTTCTCAAACATACCTAATCAATACACAACACTTCCATTTGCCATTTTATGGAAATTTCCTTAGAATAACATGCAACAAGCTACATATATGAACATATGAGACAACAAACAAGTTAATCAAAGCATAAGCTACTTAAATAAATTAAAAAAGCCCTAAAACAGCCCGTAATAAGCAAAAAAAAGTAGCTAAAACATGTTTAAATGAGCGAAAAAGATAGGCAAAAACAAAAAGATACAAAGCTAGTAAACAAAGCTAAGGAGGGGTGGCTTGAAATCTGGCTCTAATTCCCAAACCGGGAACCCGATTGGAGTCTCGTCTTCTCCCACAAGTCTCTCATGCCTAGGCGGTCGTGTGTGCCAAGCTTCGTCCCAAATTGACGCCGTTTGGTGATTTTGTGTCATCACCACCTCGAATTCAAATTTCTTATGGAACTAGTTTGCCTAGACGAGAATCTGGCTCTAACTCCCAAACTGGGGACCAGATTCGAGCCCCGTCTTCTCCCACAAGTCTCTCCTGCCTAGGTGGTCGTTTGTGCCAAGTTTCGTGCCAATTCGACAATTAGAGGGATTCATGGGGCTCAAATTCGAGTTTCTAGCACGGTTGTAAGAGGACTACAAAGAAAGAAGCCACCTCATTTTGTGTACAAATTTTGTGGGCAAATATTTTTGTGTCTGCTATTTGGTCAAAGTTCCTTTACTGCATTCCTTTCATTATTATTTTTTCATTTAATTTGATTCTAAATTTGAATAAAAAAATTAATTTGATATAAATTACTACAATCTTTTGGTCAAATTTTTATCTATTTTTTTATTGTTTTAAATTTGATGAATTTTGATAAGTTTTTAGTTTGATGAAAACAAATATTTCCCTTTTGATTTGATAAAATGATTAAAAATGATTTTTAAGAACAATTTTTCTATTAAATTTAAATTTAATAAAAAAATAATAATTAAGGATTGGATATGCTTTAACGTTTCCAGAAGCATTATATCCCAGTTTTGCTTGAGTTTTTTCTTTTCCATCCAATTTTTTTTTTTTTATTGTTATGTATGAATTATGAATTTGTTAGGAAAAAGGAAATGAAAAGGGCACATTGTATCTTGTATATATATTCGTTTTGTACCAATTTAAAAATATTTATTTTTAAGCAATTTAAAATTTTGAAACTTAATACTGTGTTTGGTTGGAGAATTTGAAAAGAAAAAGAGAAAATATATGTGAACTGTGAATAAAATATATTTATGTTTCACCTAATTTTACATACTTTTTCTCTTTTCATTTTTAAATCCCTTTTCAAATCGCTCAATCAAACACAATATAAATGAAATTAAAAATCTCTTAATTTGATATGTTATGAAGGCTAAAAATCTCAGTGTGGTTAGGCCTATAATAGGCGTGAAAATGGAAGGTTGATTTGGAATTACTGTGTTCACTCTTAAAATTAAGATTAACATTAATTTGAATAAAGTGCGGGAGTGTCACGTGTATGGTAAAAAATAAAAAATAAACTAGAATATATGTAGTTTCCAAATAATTGAATCCCCCCAAACCAAGGAACAATACCATGGGGTAGAGAGTGGAATTTATCATAAAACTTTGCACAAAGAAGACCTTAAAAAAAGCATACTCAATCAACTTGGCCTATTTTAAGAAATAGGTTAGAAGTTGTTGTTTTGATTTTTTTTTTTTATAAATAAATATATAAAAGAGTAGAGATGTGAAGTGACTTACAAAATCAAAAAATAACAAACTCGCTTTTAATCTAATTGCCAAAAAGGCCTAGTAAATTAAAATAGCAGCAGTATAGAAGTTATGCTTGTTTATACAAGGTAACTTTAGAAAATAACAACAGTATATGAGTTCTACTAATTCAAACAAAGTAAAACCTTAAGGTTGGTTTGGGATGGGGGTTAATTTTTTTATATTTTAACAATTGGCTATTTTAACTTGGGGTTAGTCTTGTTTGGGATAAGCTTGTTTGTTTTTTTAATTTTTGTGAGAAAAAAATAAAATAATTATGAATTAGATGTGACATTTTGTCTTATTAGGTTAAAATAGCCTATTTTGTTCTATATAACTATTTTATCTCCAATCTTAAACAAGGCTTAAAATCAATCAAACTGTGGGGATATATTTTCTGAATACCAACACGTGGCAAGGTGACGCCGACGTGTCAGCCGAGGTGCCACGTGTCCTGGTCGTGATGCCGAGGTGATCTCAGCAAGGCCGAGGATATCGGAATCCGAGATAAGCGGATAAGGGACAAGAGTCCTAGAATGAAGAGGGAACTCAACTTAGATATGGACAAGAGTCCTAGATTGGGAGAAGACTTCAGTTTGGGTAAAGATAAGACTCTTAGAGAGTTTATCCTTATCCCACTGGGAGTCCCAAATTAGCAGTAATCCTAAGTCCATTAGGGCCAGGCTCCTATTGAGACTAGGATTGTATTGGCTATAAAAGAGAGGCACCCCCATGGGTCTAAGGTATGTTTTTAATACTCAAGCTTGTGAGTTAGTACTTGATTATCTTTAAGAGATATACTAACTTGATCGTCGGAGTGCCCCCGGGTGGTCGAAACCACCGCGGGATTCTTATATTTCTGTTACAGGTCAATCAGGGGCCATCTATTCTGCCAGTGCTCTCCAGCTGGTTACTAAGCGGGCAGTGTGGTCGGAAAATCACCCACACACAAACGTCACAATCTTTGTGACAAATATAGTAACGATTTTTCAACCAATTTTAGTCTGGGTTTAGTTGTATTCTCAAAATATTTTTCTACCCTATGTTTTGAGTATGTTGTTTGTTTAGAGTTTTCAAAATTTAATTACATACTCACTTTTGAAAACTCTGTCCAATGAGGGAAAATTTATTCTAACCGATCATTCCCCGGACATCCGGCTTGTTGTCCTCCTGGCATTTTTTGTTTTTAATTTTTACAATTGGCACCTGTTATTTTTTATATTTTAAATAAACAAATTTTGAAATTTTTTAAATTTTTTTTATGAGTTTTGAATAGAATTTTGAGTTGTGTGTTTGGTTATGAGTTGTAAGTTTTTGTATCAAATCTCATATGTCACATCAAAAATTTCCCACTCAATTTAAAAAAAATTTCAAAACTCATTCACCAAACAAATTTCTACACTCAAATCATAATTCTAAAACTCAAAAACTCAAAATACAACTCTATTCTCAAATCATATTTTGAAAACTCTACCAAACAAAACCTTAAATTTTTCTTCTTTTATTTTTGAAATAAATGAAAATTCATGATTAATTACTTTGTCAATTAAGATATGATTTTTAAGTGTCATGCAAATAAAAGCAGTCTGGATGAGCTGGTAAAACGCGTAGGTGATGGATGCCTTTTTGATATATGGGGCCTTCATCTTACTGATCTTTGTCATTGAATTAAAAAATGAAAATAAAAATAAAAATATATAAAACAATTTCAACTTCAAGCAATAGTGTGTACTTAACTAAAAAAAGATTATTACTAATAGAAAATAATAATTAAAAAATAAAAATAAAAATATATAAAACAATTCAACTTTAAGCTGTAGTGTTTACTTAAGTCAAAAAAGATTATTACTAATAGAAAATAATAATACATGCTCGCTTTCTCTCTCTCATTCATCTAATATGTTAGGTGACAGCAATACCCTGGACTTGGGTCTCGAGATTTCCTCAGTTTTGATTCCCCCTATGAGTTGCGTGTGTTGACTTTCATTTCAATTACGATTGTTTTAGGCCTAGTTTGGGAAGATTAAATAAGTGTATTTTTTTTACTTTTTATGAAATATGGGTTGAGTTTGGGTTGAGTTTGAAGTGATGTGTTAGAGAGGTGATGTGACTTAAATAGGATAGTGACTTTTTGACTTTTTATCTTTTTTCAATCATGCTAAACTTGACCTTACTATCAACAAAGCATATATCTTAAATTTAATAGTATTTCGAATTTTAAAAAGAAAAAAGTAAACGTATATGTATAGAAAAATATTTAAATTATTATGTGATTCAGATTTAATTGATGCGTCATGTGTTCACATTTAAAACGGTAAATTACATTGATTTTCTCTAGATTTGAAAAAATAAAATAAATTTCACAATTTTAACATAATTATGTTGACTTCTCTTTCAGTATAGATTCAAACTAATATAAATGATAAAAAAAAATCAAAAATAAACAATGTAAAGCATATATTTTTATTTAAAAGAAGTGACGCTATCATTTTTCATCTATATAATTAAGAAATTATTGATTAAAAATGATCTAAGGTCATGTTTGATTCATAAGATTAATAGTGAAGTATTAATAATCCTATTAAATTAGTGTGGTATTCACTATCCAATTGGATTAATATCCATTGGATTAATAATCCCACCCCTACCCCATTACTAATAATCCTACAAATTTCTTGGATTAATTATCCATTGGATTAATAATCCTAAACCAAAATGTTAAAACAAACATAGGATAATTGGGCTCACGGATTAATAATCCTAATCCCATGCTCTAATCCACCCAATCAAACATGCCCTAAGTGTTATATAAATTAAAGTTATAAAAAAAAATTAATATAATTGTGTCAAAATTATATAATTTATTATAATTTTTATAATTTCAAAAAAAGTCAATATAATTTATCCTATAAAATGAATCTGCCACACATTGATTTCTTAAGATTTTTCTGTACCTAATTATTCTTTATTTAATTAATATATAAGTCAGTTTCACCGTTGGATTCAACTTATTGGTTCGGTTGTTTATGATTTCTTTTCCTGTTTTTGTCTTCCTGTTTTTGTTCTGTGTTCATGTTTGCTTTTGGGTAATGACAGTGTTGGTATTTTTAGGTGGTGTTTGGTTTTTATTTTTAGCTAAATAAGTACAAAAAGATAAAAAATAAAAAAAAAAATAAAAAAAGTTAAAAAATCACAAAATGTCAAAAATTACAAAAAAATATAAAAAAAAAATTCTACTATTCCAAAGCTAAAAAGCCAATCAAGAATACCAAACGAACAAAAAAGTCCCAGGCTAAAACAGTAAAAAAAACTTAAAAGCCAATTAAAAAAGTTATTGCCAAACGAAGGCTTAATATATCATTTCTTTATGGTTTATGTTCAGAGAATAAAATTTTACTGTTTTTTTGGCTATTACACAAATAGTGAAATTTCATTGTTTTACTAAAAAAAATTCACAGGTGACAGTAAGAGTGGTAGTGGCTGTTGGAATTTCACTATTTAACATTTACAATCACATAGTAAAATTTCACTTTTTTACTTAGAAATGAAATGTTTTTGTTTATTAGTTCAATAGAGAAATTTCGAGCATTTCACTGTTTTGATAAATATAACGATTATGGTTTAAACTTGACTTATTTATTTGCTTTTGAATCATCTCATTAACATCTTGTTGCTTGTGAGTTTGGCAATTGGGAGTTTTGATTGCGTTTGAAATAGGTTGGTAAGTCAGTTTTTCTTCCGTGATTGCTCCTCGTCCTCCCGTCACTTTCATTATAGCAGATGGAATCTTGAGTTTTACCATTGATGTTGCTAAAGAGATTGGTCTTCCCATCGTTTGCTGCCGTACTCTCAGCCCTTGTGCTCTCTGGATTTTCTTCTGCCTTCCCATCCTCCTTCAATCTGGAGAATTTCCTTTCCAAGGTACTCCTCCTATATGTTTCACACATTCTATGATATTCTTCATTACATGGCAAATCAAAATCCCCCAATCCTATAACTATTATACACTTTTATTCATCGAAATACAGTACTAACGATTTTTGCTACCAAAAAATGATAACATACAGTCAGATGTGCAATGGCATACCTTTCTCTGAGTCTTTGGTCCGGTATGACCAACAAATTCTCCTACCAAATCAGTTCTCTGTACTTCTGTTACCTTGTCAGTTGGTAAAATTCCGACCATATATAGTAATCTTCCAAGGATTCGAGCTACCATAGTTTTACCTATCACATATAAAAAAGTACCATGCCTTGTAATTAACCGCATGAGATATAGGGACAACCATAATTGAAATAATTGCTTACACATTTGAGAAGTTTTTTTTTTTACCAAGGCACGTCCTTTGGTAACGTATTTTCCAAAACAAAGTCTTTTTAAACATAATTCCCAAAGGCAGGCCATTTTATCAAGTCTTGTATCAAATACATGATTTCAATCCACAACTTTAGAGAAGTCGTGATTTTAAAATGCAACTTTAGGCTTTGAAGTCATGTTTTGAAAACACGATTCACAAAACAACATGGGTTTGGAAAATAAGTTCAAAACAACTTGACTTTGGGAAATATATTTGAAAAAAACGAAAAAGAAAACATAGGTTGGTAAAAATTTAAGATATAAATAAAATACAACTAACAAATTAAATCTGTTTTCGCATATTAAAACCTCGGGGGGCTGTTAAAACCTATCACCTACTTCACCCACTAAACCTAACCCACTACACCACTACCACCTCACCTACTCCACTAAACCTAACCCACTACACCACTACCACCTCCACTTCACCTACTCCACCTACCACCTCCACTTTACCTACTCCATCTACCACCTACTACCACCTACTATTCTATATATAGGAATCATTGTAACATTCAATAAATCAATCAATAATACAATCATTTCTCTTTATACATTAAATTTCTACATGGTATCAGAGCAAGGTTAAGCTCTTGGTGCTCTTCGCCTTCTGGTGGGCGGCAACTTTGCCTTAACCGCCCGCCAGACCTCAACCAATTAAAACCTACCAAAACCTCCAACCACTGCAGCAACTCAAACCACTACTAGCTCGAATTGACGCCAACTCTTCTCGCAACCAGTGTTTCATTTCGGCCTACTGCCGATACAGATTGCCTTGCTGCAACTCCGGGCACCGTCGCCGACCATCCCAACTCGCATGGTTTGCATGCTTCGTGTCCAGCACCTGCAATATTGCTGCGTCTGTCAGCCGTGACTGCTGACCACGACGCCTACCCAATACGTCGTTGGTCCGTCCATCATCCTTCTCATTCACTGCTCATGCGAGCTATATGTGCTGCCGCCGACCTGTTCTAACTGTCTCAGTGCCGTGTATGTGTTCAGATGTAAGAACACAAGACATGTCCTCTCGTCCCAAAGTCTCCACTCCTCTCACCTCCCTCCGCCGCCTGGCTGAAGGTTACTGGTTGAAACAGTCCTCGATGTCTCCCTATGCAGATTTTGTCACTGCAATGCTTATTCGTTCAACTGGCCTGAATCTTCAAAAAGCATATTCTCAAAGATTGAAATCACTAGGCCTTGTTGGACTGTTGGAAAATTCAGAGATTCTTTCATCTGGGGATATGGCTGCTCTGGTGTACTTATGGAATCCTTTTACCATAGTCAGTTGTGTGGGTTTGTCTACTTCTCCAATTGAAAATTTGGTCATCATACTGTCACTTTATGGAGCTTGTACACGACAAATTCCATTGGCAGCTTTTGGATGGGTCATAGCAACACATTTGTCCCTTTATCCTGCTATTCTGATTGTACCGGTGATTCTTTTATTAGGTTATGGTCCAGATGCTCCCCCAAGGAAATTGTTACTGCAAAGGAATTCCTGTGAACTGACAGGTCAACAGAAGGAACTGAAAAATCAACCAGTGCAACTAATTTGTTTCTCTTGGAAACCAGTTGTGTGTTTCTTCTTGTGGGCATCCATGTGGGCATTCTACGTGTTAGTTCTATGTGGCATTTCTGTTAAACAATATGGTGGTCTTCGGGAGATGTTTAAGAGAACTTATGGGTTTATTCTCACAGTGGAAGACTTGTGCCCAAGTTTGTCATCTATATCTATAAAAAATTATTTTAAAAAAATAAATAAATTAAATAAAAATAAAAATTAAATAAAATTATTTTATTTTTAAATTGAGACATTTAAATTTTATTGAATTTTACTAAATATAATATATAATTAAATATTAGAGGGCAAAAATGTAATTTTATTAGCTAATCCCATGGGATGAGTTATCCTATGGTTTTGTGTAGGTGATTTTTTGACCATATTGCCAAACAGGTACCCACCTGGAGAGCACCGGCAGAATAGATTAAGCCCGAACGACCTGCAATAGAAAGAAGAGTTTCCGGCGGTGGCTCGTCCACTCGGGGGCACTCCGACGATCAAGTCAGTACTCAATATCTCTCAAAGATAACCAATAGTGCTTAACTCACTAGACAGAATATTAAAAGCATACCTTAGACCCATGGGGGTGCCTCCCTTTTATAGCCAACACAATCCTAGTCCCAATAGAAGCCTAGCTCTAATAGACTTAGGATTACTGCTAATCTTGGACTCCCAGTAGAATTAGGATAAACTCTCTAAGAGTTTCATCTTTTCCCAAACTGTAGTCTTCTCCCATTCTAGGACTCTTGTCCCTTATCCGTTTTATCTCCGATTCCGGTATTCTCGCAGATAATCTCGGCCTAGCCGAGATTACCTCGGCGTCATGACCAGGACACGTGGCACCTTGGCTGGCACTTCGGTGACACCTCGGCCACGTGTTGTCATTCAAAAATATATCCCCACAACTGCTCCTTAGGTTCTATTACCTCGGCATCCTGAGGTGATGGAACCTATATCATTCATTCCTTTAATCATGACCCCGGTTTAACTTCAACTTGTAAACTTTTCTCAAGTTTCAACAAGTGTTAAACATAATCTCAGTTTAACTTCAACTTGTAAACTTTTCTCAAGTTTCAACAAATGTTAAACATCATCTCGGTTTAACTTCAATTTGTAAACTTTTTTCAAGTTTCAACAAGTGTTAAATATAATCTTGATTTAACTTCAACTTGTAAACTTTTCTCAAGTTTCAACAAGTGTTAAATATCATCTCGGTTTACTCTTCTCTTCTCGGACTTAATCATCTTAGGCCAAGATCTTGTCTTCTGGGATCTGGGATCCGAGATCTAGAATCCGGGATCGGCTTACTTGGGCTAAGCTCTTGTCTTCTTATATCCAGTGTTGTCTCAGCTTGACAGGTGAGGTTACCTCGGCATCTTGTCGCTTTCTCTGGAGGTAATCTCTCAGATCCTCCTTGATTCGTCCAGGAGCTCGGCTATCTCTGGATTTCAACCTTTTTGGTGCACTACTTCCTGTGTCATTGCGAGTCCTTTTGGACCTCCCTCCATTGGTCGCATTGAAACAGAGGTCTTTTCCCTGAACATGTCGATGTTCTTTGGAGTCAGCTTCCTTGGTACGATGTGTCCTTTGTGAATCTCCCCTTCTTGATTCTCCTCGTCCGACCTCCCTTGAAGGCCAGTGAGAATGTTCCTTGGTCCTATCGTGCTGAGGAGTCATAGGAGTTGTCTTTTGCCCCCCTACCTGGGCATCTTTCTTGGCTGTTGAAATCGGCGTATCTTGTGGCGGGAACGATGGCTGGAGGTTGTCCTCGTTATAATACTTGCTTCGGTCTGATTTCTTCAGCACGTCGCCCTCCTGGCCGACGTCCTCTTCTCCGTGATTCTTATCACGAGTTTCTTCGTTGTAGTTGTCTTCTTCGACGCCAAGGTCAATATGTTTCCCACTTTCAGTAGGGTTGTCGTCCCTAACCTTCTCTTTCGGTCTATCGTTGGCCATCTATTCTCCTTTCGTTCCCACAGACGGTGCCAAATTGTGTGGGTGATTTTCTGACCATATTGCCAAACAGGTACCCAGCTGGAGAGCACCGGCAGAATAGATTAAGCCCGAACGACATGCAATAGAAAGAAGAGTTTCCGGCGGTGGCTCGTCCACCCGGAGGCACTCCGACGATCAAGTCAGTACTCAATATCTCTCAAAGATAACCAATAATGCTTAACTCACTAGACAGAATATTAAAAGCATACCTTAGACCCATGGGGGTGCCTCCCTTTTATAGCCAACACAATCCCAGTCCCAATAGAAGCCTAGCTCTAATGGACTTAGGATTACTACTACTCTTAGATTCCCAGTAGAATTAGGATAAACTCTCTAAGAGTCTCATCTTTTCCCAAACTGTAGTCTTCTCCCATTCTAGGACTCTTGTCCCTTATCCGTTTTATCTCGGATTCCGGTATTCTGGCAGATAACCTCGGCGTCATGACTAGGACACGTGGCACCTCGGCTGGCACTTCGGTGTCACCTCGTCCACATGTTGTCATTCAAAAATTATGTCCCCACAGGTTTCTATCCCACCCCCATGGAATAGCGTAGTCCCCCAAATATGGACTATTAGTTCGGAACAAAACTTTTAAAACAAATAACGAATTATTAGCCCATCCAAACTAATAATCTAATCACATGCCCAATCTTTCCAAAACAAACACCCCTCAAGGTTGTATCGAATTAAGAAGAGTGGACTTGTTCAAATTAATCGGTGTTGACGATGCACAATAAGAGGTTATTTCCCAGACGCTGCTAGTGGTAGAAATAATATATATTTCCTGGTTCCATCGAAGATTATTTGACGTTTTGTGTATTAGAATTATATTATAGAAAAATAATTGATAATTTGAATTTGTGTGATTTGAATGACTCGAATATAATAAAATAACGTTGTTTTATCTTTAAAATGACGTCGTTTTGATACATTTGAACCATTCAAAAAAATTAGAGGTACCAAATATTATTGTATATTATATTTCTTACTGTCTCTTTCATAAGAGCATCTCTAATGATTATTACTATATTGTCATTGTTATTGCTATAATTTGGTAATGAATAGTGCTATTTTGCCAAATTATAGTAATGGTGCTTCAATTATCATTTGCTATTTTGGCAAATCTCAACCAACTTTTTTTTCCAAATTTGTAGGTATTATTTGGATATATGTTTTTTTATGATTTTATTTTTGTTTTATTTTTTTTGTCTTTTGTAACCTTTTTTTAACTATTTATAAAAAAAATTATATATTTATATTATTCTCGACTAAACAAATATAAAAATTGAAAAAAAAAATTGAAAAATTGAAAAAATATATATATATATATAATTCACCCCACCGTTCATATATCACTACAAAATTAAAAAAAAATAAAATAAAAATATTAACTACATTCATTTATAGCATTGAGATAATAGTGTTCTGTTTAAAAAAATAAGAAATAGGAAAAGGAGCCGTTGTGAGAAAATTCAAAATTCCAAGATTTTTTTTCCATCGTTGGATGTTTTCATAATCCAACAATTGAAATTGATCATCTGGAATCTTTGGATCTAAATTGATCACCTTTACTCTCTTTCTCTCCATCTCCATTTTGATCAACCACCCATTAAAACCAGTAACATCTCTCTCTCTCTCTCTCTCTCTCTCTCTCTCTCCATCTTCATCCAACTCTCTAATGGTGCAAACTAATTGACTCATTTTCTCTCACTCATGCTCACCGATTCCCTCTTCATCCCTCATCACCGAACCCCTTTCTCTCACTCACACTCACCAATTCTCTTTCTCCCCCTGTTTCCACTCCAAAGTCGTCTCTCTCTCTCTCTCTCTCTCTCTCTCTCTCTCTCTCTCCTTCCCTAGAACCACCACTAGATCATGCCCCTATCCCTATCCCTCGATGTCCAGACCAAGTTTTTCACATCCTTTACAGAGGATTTGATTTTGAAACCCCTCCTAAACGCATTTCTCTATAAAACCGATTCTTTCACACACTACATCCATGGTAGAAAGATATTGAAGGCTTGAGAAGAGTGGGATTTTGTGGGTCTCTGTCCATTCCTTTAGCACAAACTTGGGAGTTTTGATAGATGCTGACCAATTCACAGCAGAACCACCATCCACCATCGATCCAGCTAGGATCATCATTTTCCCATCAAGGGTTGCTAGGATCCGGGTAAATTTTGTTTCAGATTTGTTATTCACTAAAATTTGTTATGAGATTTGTGAAAATTGGATTCACTGATCATTCTGTTTTTTAATTTTTTTTATGAGAGTTGTGAAAATTGTGAAAATTTGTTATGAGATTTGTGATTTTGTTTTGTGATTTTGCATACAGTTATGGGATTCTGTTTTTTAATTTGTGAATTTGCAGATTTGTGGTGAAGAATAAAAGCAGATGAATTTGTGAATTTAGAGCCAAAATTCTATTAATCTTTGATGATGTGGCATGTTTGGCAAATGACAAAACTCTTGCCAAATTTGACAGCAAAAATGGCATATGCTATATTTGGCAAGAGGAATAGCATGCCATTAGAGACCCCATTTTTTTCATTCTTGATAAATTATAGCTTTGGCAGCTCATTTGCCAACTCCATTGGAGATGCTCTAAGGCAGTGGATCTATAGATGTTATTTTCTCTAATATGAAGATTCTTTAATCAAGTCACATCGTCTTGTCATAAATAAGTAAAAAATATTAATAAATATCGTGTTTGTAGATTGGTTGGTTTTCTAATTTTAATAAAGAAAATTTTTAAAAAAATTTTTAAAAACTTTTTGACTTGACTTACCATACAAAAAGAAAGAAATCATATATATTGAAAAATGCTTTAAAACTTTAATTCTTTACTTTTAAAGCCAGTTCTAATAAGTTGGCAATGGGTCTCACTCACTGTTGATGTGATGTATTTTTTTTTACTCCATGCCAGCTCATTAGAGCTGCTCCTTTAGAGCTCCCAATCACAACTGATATGTATTTATCCTCCAAAAGAGTTCCTAGCTTTTTCAGTCTATCTCAAGAAAACATTGTTACAATAGATGAAGTGGGTGAGAGTAGCCTGCCGGCAAAAGGTGTGTATGGTAGTGTTGGCTATATATTTTGTACATGTTACCCAAAAGACAACGTAAGAGGGAGGTGAATTAGGTTTTACAAATAAAAATAATAATACCCTAATAAAAATTATGACTAGCACAATAGATAAATATAGTTAATGAAATAAAAATAATTAAAACAAGTATTCTAACAACTACATCAGTTAATGATTTTAGCACAGTGAAAATGTGAAATATAGTTATGGCAATTTAAATAAAATAAAGAGATAAGGGAGAGAGAGGCAAATAAATTTATAGTGGTTTGAATTCAACTCGGCCTACGTCCACTCCTCAAGTTTCACTTGAGATTTTCTACTATACTCTAGCTTCACAGGGTGCTAGCAACCTTTTCATAGATGAAGCAATCCTCTACAAATTTTACACAGACTTTCTAAGTCAAGAACACTGAGTGTACTACACTCTTACAAGGTTGAAAAGAAGGTGTTTTTGCTTTCAAAGAAAGCTACAAGAATTATCTCTCAAAGATAGATATAAAAATGAAACTCTGGTTTTTCTGTAAACCTCACACAGGAAAGATGGGCTTAAAGCTATACGTCTTAGTATATAATTTCTGAAAAAAGATGTAAACAAAAATTAAAGAATACTTTTCAGAGAATTTTTTCAAAGAATAGATGTGAGTGATTATAGATCAAAGAATATTTTCTATATTTTTTTGTAACTTGTTTACATTAGAGACTTTGGTATATATAATGAAACTTATAGCCATTTATAGCCGTTGTATTCATTTGAATTTATAACCGTTTATAGTCGTTGTATTCATTTGAATATCTTCCACTCCATCATTCATAATTTGAATATATTCCACTCCATCATTACTAATTTGAATATCTTCCACTTGAACATTTTGGCCTGCTGCTGTGCTGGGCTGTTTGAACCTTTTGGCCTACTGTTGTGCTGGGCTGTTTAAACCTTTGTTTTGGGCTGCTTGAATCTCTGATTTAATCAAATATTAAATACATTCTAATAAAATTTAGGATAAAAGTTTTAGGTAAGAAATAATGGGACAAAATAAGTATTGATTCTAATTTTCTCTTTCAAATAAATCATCAAAATAAATTTTAATTCTATTTATCTTTCAAATAAATTAAAAACATAATTAAATAAATTGTCAAAATAAATAAGTCTAACAATCTCCCCTTTTTTAATGATGGCACACAATGATGTTTTGATTTGATTTGATTTGGGAGTAAGAAAAGCTCTCCCTCAAGTCATGCTCCCTGAATTTATTTCTAAATATATAGGTTAACACATGTGTAATAAATAAACTTTAATTAGAGACATGATATGAGACTAAGATATCAAACTATAAACCCATAATCATCATATTAGTTTTCAAATAATACCATAATTTGAAAATAATACCATAATACATAACATCATATAATTTCTCCTCCTGTGACATTATCAAAATGAAATCAAGGGTCAGAATCTAGAGGCGGTGGAGGAAAATGATAGTGATAAATGAAATCAAAAAATAGATAATCAAAACATATATATATATATATATATAAGATTCGCCTGCGTCTCTATTTTTCGTTGAAAATCGCGTCGGACGCGCGGCCTCGCTTTTGCGTCAGCCAACAGACAAAAGCGAGACGGGTCAATCAGTTGCCTCGACTCTCGCTCCCTCTTGTCTTCTTCTCCTCCGTCTTTTTCTTAATCACTCAGTCTCCTTCTTCTTCCTCGTTCGCTTCCAGCCCTTTTTTCTACTTCGTGAGAGAGATAGAACAGAGAGTCCGATCAGAGCAGAAAGGCTGCCAAAAACTACCCTCCGGTCGATTACATCGCTTTTGTCTACTACATGGCCTCATCCCGTCCCTTTACTCTCTTTCCGGACCTGAATGATCCCGTAAGCGCTGCTGGGCCGAGTGCCCCGGCTCCTACTCTTCCCAACCTTCCTATGATGTCGATTGAGCAAATAATGGCAGCTCAATCAAACATTGAAGCCAATCATTTCACACTAACATCCTGTATGGAGACGGTGACTGCAGTCACAAAATTAGCTCACCGATTGTAGAACAGGACGAGTGAGCTCCATCAAGTCAACGCCCAACTCTCTCTGCTCTAGCGCATGTACAAGGATACGCAAGCAGAAATAGGTACACTGAAGGCCGAAAATAAAGAGCTTAAACGAAAGACCACCTCCATGGCCCGATTTGGAGCAACGTCGTTCTTGGCCTTTGATAGTCAGCAGGGAGTCATCGCTCTCGACGAAAGCACGGGGGCAGGGGCATCAAAGGTCGCCCAATGTGATAAAAAGAAAAAGAAAATGACGGAAGAGACGAGTAAGTAAGATCGTCATATGGCCGTAAAAAAAATGAAGGGTTTTTTTTATTTTATGTAAATATGTTTATTTTGATCGGCTTATGATCGTAAAAAAATGAAGGGTGTTTTTTTTTTTATTTTATGTTTAATGTAATCACTTGAAGATGAAAGTAAAGTGCAGAAAAAAAAAATCAAAATTAAGTCTCAGGGCAAAACAACAAAAAAAAAAAAATAATAATGAAAAGAAAAGAAAAGAAAATAATAATAAAGGAAATGAAGCTTAGTAGTAAAACAACAAAAAATAAATAAAAAAAGTAAAAGATATTAAGCCTAATAGCAATAAAATAAATAAAATAAATAAAATAAAATAATACCAGCAGAAATTAAACTTAATGGGACGTTGGTGTTGCTGGAATGGTAACGCAAAAAAAATACCATGGGGGTTTAAAAAAAATAATGTATGGAAAGTTAATTTTACCTCAAGATGCAGAACCCAAAAAAAATTACACAGTTGAGAATAACAAACTATTAAAGAGAATAAATGTATGAAGGACTTGAGAGCATTTAACTGATAAAATGTTTCCATATCAATGTAGTAATACACATATATCATTTTAACAAAAATTCATGTTTCACAGTCATAACAAAACTTTTTAAGTAGAAATCGACATTCCAAGCTCGCCACGAATAAAATTGAAGCGATCCTCGCTTAGGGGTTTTGTGAAAATATCCGTCAATTGTTTGTCAGTGTTTACAAATTCAAGTACAATATCCCATTTTTGAACATGATCTCTTAAAAAATGATGTCGAATTTCAGTATGTTTTGTTCATGAGTGTTGAACCGGATTTTTACTTAAATTGATGGCACTAGTATTATCACATTTAATAGGGACATGATCATAATGCAAATCAAAGTCCTCGAATTGTTATTTCATCCAAAGTATTTGGGCACAACACCTTCCGGAAGTTATATATTCAGCTTCGGTCGTTGATAAAGCAATATAATTTTACTTTTTGCTAAACCAAGATACTAATGAGTTACCAAGAAAGTGACAAGTGTCACTGGTGCTTTTTTTATCGAGCTTGCATCTGGCAAAGTCGCCATCCGAGTAACTAATTAAATCAAAAGCAACACCTCTAGGATAAAACAATCCCAAATTTTGAGTACCAACAATATATCTAAAAATTCTTTTAACAGCACTAAAATGTGATTCATTTGGATTTGATTGATATCTAGCACACATATAAACGCTAAACATAATATCGGGTCTGCTTGCGGTTAAATAAAGAAGTGAGCCGATTATACCTCGATAGTTTGTTTGATCAATGGACTTACCTTTTTCATCCTTGTCTAGCTTAATGGATGTGCTCATAGGTGTTCCAGCTATTTTTGAGTTATACATACCAAACTTTTTGAGTAGTTCTTTTTTGTACTTAGCTTGGTTGATAACAATTCCTTCCTTACATTGTTTGATTTGAAGCCCAAGGAAATAATTTAGCTCCCCCATCATGCTCGTCTCAAACTCACCTTGCATACACTTAGCAAATTCCTTACGCAAGGTTTCATTAATAACACCAAATATAATGTCATCCACATATATTTGCACAATAAGTAAACCATCATTTTTAGTTTTAACTAAAAGTTTTGTGTCAATCGTTCCTCTAGAAAAACTATTTTCAATCAAAAATTTACTTAATTGTTCATACCATGCACGAGGTGCTTGCTTCAAACCATATAAAACTTTTGATAGTTTAAAAACATGATTTGGAAAAGCATGATCTTCAAAACCTGGGGGTTGTTTAACATAAACTTCCTCATTTATAAAACTATTAAGAAAGGCACTTTTTACATCTATTTGATAAAGTTTGAAATATCTAAAACATGCAAATGCAAGTAACATGCGAATGGCTTCTAATCTAGCAACCGGAGCAAAGGTTTCATCGAAATCAATACCTTTTTCTTGATTGTACCCTTGTGCAACCAGTCTAGCCTTGTTTCTTATAATTGTGCCGG